AAATATATATATGAACAGAAATATGTGTTGCGTACGTGTGTGTGTGTTATCACATACGTTGTATTTATATAAGTTATGTATAGGATCATACATTTTTATTTACCAGCAGGCAGATAACACAAATCTACGGGAAGATGAGTGTGTTACACTTTATAAAAAAAAAATGTGTAAATAGACGATGTCGTTAATTAATTTCTACTTAGCAATGTCATACATACATTAAGCTTGAGTGTTTTTGTATTTTTAGCAAGCAACTTCTATAATACATTAATTGCTTTTAAATTGGCTGAATGAAACGTTATTAATTTTAATTGCTCTGATTAATAACATTTTAAACGCCTTCACTTAAATGTTTTTATAAACAACTTTTCAGTTTTAATTAATTAAATTAATTAATAGAATCTAGTTAGACTAATGAGACTAATTGATAACCATTTACCTGAGTGGAAGAGTAATTAATGACTCTACTATTATTAGCTATACTAGCACTTTCAATGTAACACTTAATAAATCTCATATCAATAAGTAGTCTTCTTGCTCTCGTGTTTTTTTTCTCTAATTACAATTAGCATATAACAAATAACTCACCACAAATGACATTTAACATTTAATATCTAACAGATTATTAAATGATGAAACATGAAAGGTACAAAAATATTAAGAGATAATAGTTTTTTTACCCACAACTTACCGACAATTTTCATCGTATCATGAACGGCTTCGTGGTGTACCGGCGATTATGAAAATGGTGATGCACAGATTGTAAAGAAAATTTTTAATGAAACGAATATCGTAAGGAATGTTTGAACGATATTGATGTGATTTATAAGCATATATTTGTGTGTGTATTTGAATAATAATACAAATATATAAAGAGAGGGAGAAAAAGAATAAGAGAGAGAAAGAAAAAGAGAGAGAGAGAGAAAGAGAGAGAAAGAGAGAGAGAGAGTAAGAGTTGTGCAAATTTATATTCATATTAGCGTATATTTGCTTGAAACATGTCATCTATTCATTTTTAAAGCGCATACATAATCCGCACACATGTTAAACTGAGATTTTATAAGCATTGATCATAGAATCAAAAGCAACAACGCATATGTGTATATGTATGCATATTTTTCTGTAGCTGTGTATAAACACATACAAACATATATATATATATATATATATATATATATATATATATATATATATATATATATATATAACACATGTCTATGTATGTATGTATGTTTGTACGTACGTATGTATGTATGTATGTATGTATGTATGTATGTATGTATGTATGTATGTATGTATGTATGTATGTATGTATGTATGTATGTATGTATGTATGTATGTATGTATGTATGTATGTATGTATGTATGTATGTATGTATGTATGTATGTATGTATGTATAAAGGTATATATATGTTGCCATCATAAGTAGTGTTGGATAGTTGATGCTGGTTTATATAAGAGGCTAGATAGATTTCTTCCTAGTCATTTTATGAGTACCAGTCTCGGTAGGTATGAGGACCAGATTTTTTTAAATAAAAAAATGTGTAATAGACGCGTTTACTATAATTATAAAATAATATAATCTTATTTACTATAATTATTTATATTCCTCAGCGCTTCTTGTTTATTTATTTGCAAAATTTATAAATTAATGTTAAATTAATTATATAATTAATGTTAGAATAATTATATAATTAATTTTATTTAAATGACATTAGAAAATTATTTCCAAACAACACAATTCGATTTCTCACGTCAACAAACTGCATCAATTTTACATAATTGTTTTTTATTGACTAAAATGACGTAGCAATATAAGTACTAAAATAGCAACAGCATAATTAATGACATCAATCGGTAACATCAACAAAGACAATATGACGTTAACTAATGTCTTCAGTTGCGACAGCACTAATAACACTCAAAGATTATTACGATACAAATTACATAAGACATCAACATCATTCTTAACATCATCAACAACAACAACAACAATATAAACAACAGCAGCAACAACTTCGTAACATTTTGTTCGTTAATGTAAGCAACATAGTTTGTTACAAAAACGCACAAGCCTAACATAAATACATTATCACTAGATTCGTAAAAATTAACATCGCCATCGCTAACACAACGACATATTATTGACGTCATCACATTGAGTTACGTTCACGTTCATTGACGTCATCACATTAAGAACATCGTCACGTCACATGACATGATGTTATTGCATCCAGAAGAAGAGCGCGTACCTGAACCAGGTGGGTAGTCATTTAATTGCTACAGCGTTCGTCATCATTCTGCATAAAGGTCATTTTCTATATTTAATAAGTACACATCATCATTAACATCATCATAAACATTATCATCATCGTTGTCGCCATTAGCAACATCATCATCGTCGTCATCATCCATCGTTATTATTATTATGATTATTATTATTAACATTTTTTTTATTATCACTTAACAGTCATTATTAACTTTAAATTATCATACTTGATTAATTTTTTTTAATTTTTATTTTTGAAATTTATAGCTGCCAAATAAAATTTGGTCCTATTTCGTCTATATACTACTAAGTAAATTTACTACTACTGTACTTATACTAGTAAATTTATGGCTACTTAAATTATTTATTACTATTCAGTGAAAAACTACTTGAAAATGCTTAAACAGTTGATATTTGTTTTTATGTTTATGTTTTAAATTATTCAAACGATTCAACGTTTATTACATTGTAAATTATTTATGCAAAAAAACCGCGCTAACTTATGCATGCATGCAACGGCGTTATGCAAATCCGAGGACTCGCAACTCTGATACCGCCACGAAGTTTAGAGATTGACGGTAGACAAGTTGGTTAAATTAAAATTAATGAGATGCTAATTTATTCATGGATTAATTTTAAAGTTAATGAGATGTTAATTTATTCATGAATTAATTCGTGACGTCAATATGAACATCCGCCATAGCAAACAGCGGTAAAGAACAGTTACCATATCAACAAACTTTTTGAATCTCGAATATCAATAACAACAAAAAAAATGAAGATAAAGAATAACATAAATAACAAAAACTGATATTTTTATAGTTGACATAGATACACATAGATACTGTGTTGATACAAGTACAATCTAAATAACTACAAAGTAAACTTACTTCGAATACATGTACAATTACATGGTTGTATGCTTACAGATAACATATTTGCACTTCCACATTGTCTTCTATTGCCACCACACGTTACTCACGCTTCAGTTGACGTCACCACTGACGTCACACAAAAAAACTGTCGCATGATGTTCAGCGCAGTGATTGAGCGCAATGATAAACGTAATGATGATAAACGCAATGATAAAAACAACATTAAACGCAACATTGAACAGGCTCGATGGTTATTGCACATGTATATGTGCTCATCTGTGTATGTACACATATATTTGTATATATGTATGTATTGTGTGTATGTGTGTGTATGTGTGTGTGAATGTGGTGAATGTGTACATGTGTGTATGACAAAGCGTTTACGATGTCAGGTTAAGAGCAGTGGTTTCATTTTAATGGTTCCTATATTAATCTACTTGATGATAGGCACGTGTGTGTGTGTGTGTGTGTGTGTGTGCGTGTCTACACACATGTACGTGTGCATTCATGTATGTATATATTTATGTATGTACGTACAACACACGTATGTGCATGTATGAATTCATTTTTACATGCATTCATCTATGCTCTCAAACTCAAGTAGAATTTGAATTTTTTCAAAGTTTCTCACCACTACCATTATTTCATTTTTCACCGTTAAATATATTCATTTATTTTATTAATTAACACCTTAGTCATTATTGTTATTGTAACTGTCACCATCATCTCCTTAATTAATCATCGTGACGTCATTTTTTCCCCATTGATAGAGATAGATTAGTTCTTCCAATCATGTTATACTTCATGGTTTCATCATAAAAAATATCATCATCGTCGTCATCATCATCGTTGTTAAAATTTACCTCATCAATTTTCTACAAATTATCACCATTATCATTACAATCATCATCATCATTATCATCGCAATCATCATCATTATCACTCTCTCCAAAACGATCATTATCATCCCAATCATTATCATCATCACCCTTTTTTTCATACTCTTCCTCCTCCTCATCATTATCTTCACAATCATCAGCATCATCATCATCATCAGCCTCCTCTTCTTCCTCTTCATCCTCATCATCACCACAACCATCTCGCATAGGAGTGCACCGCGTGAACTCCTCAGAGAAAAATGCTCGTTCGGGTATTTAATAATTGTGAACCTGCAAAAAAAAATAAAAATAATTAAAAAATAAAATGTAAAATCATAATAATAATAAAAATAAAAAGCAATAAATTTTTTTTTCAAATCGCTCGATGATAAATAATTATACGTGCGCTGCAGTTAATAATGTGTGTGGATGTGTGAATTTTTGTGGATGTGTATGTGTGTGTGTGTATACGGCATTTGTATGAGCGTGTATTTATGTGTGGATACCTGTGTGTATACACGTGAGTATGTGTTGTTATATGCATTTCTGTATGTCTGCTTGTATATATGTGATATATATATATGCATGTATGTCTGTCTCTGTGTGTGTGTGTTTGTGTGCGTGTGTATTATGTATGCGTAACTGCACGTGTTAACAGGGATGATAAAAACAATGTATCTATCGCAGACATGACATGTCTGACACTGATGACAACAATTTTGAAGATGATGATGACGACGACGACGACGACTATGAAGATGATGACGATAACAAAACGCGAGCGATGTTAATAATATAACGAAATGTATAAATGATATTGAAAGTACTGTTTATCCATTTAAATCAATGATTGCATACCGAGAAACCAGATGTTCCTCTCAATAAACGTTTTATAAATACACGTACACATGCAAGCACACACAGAGGCTCATGCACACACCAACAAACATGCGAAAATGGTAAAGGCGTAGATGAAAATGGTTACGATGATGATGGGTGGGTGATTGATTTCACAATAATTAAATTTATGATTGCAACAAAGCGCTTCATCCGTCGGAACATCATTAGCTTCGTTAAATGCTTGGCAAATACGGCAACCGACCATCGATTTTAATATTTTTTACAATACATCAATACACACATGTACACAAACATACACAAACATTCATTCATACATACAGACACACATACACACAAACAAACGTATACACACATGCGAGCAGAAATAAATCATTTTTTAAGCATCGTCATCATTATTTTTATCATAATCTTCATCATAATCATCATCGTTCATCATCATCATATTAAACAAAATAATATTAATAATAATTATCATCATCATCATTATCACCATCATCATCATAATTGTTTATTTCAGCTTTAAACTATGAAACGCCCATATGTTATGTGATGATAAAACATTTGAGTGATTAGTTATCATTTTAACATCAGCCAACGATCGATAGATACATTAACAAACGTAAAAAAATCATCCGAATTCAGTTAGGATCAAAACGGAGAACCAGCGAATGAACGAGGGTGAATATTGCGGAGAGGACAGCAGCAACAACAACTTCAACATAAACGACAACAACAACAACAACCACAACACGCCATTTGACATCAGTAGCAGTAACAACAACAACATCATGGTTGTTGAAAACAATGCTAACAACAACATCAACAACAATAAAAACATAAACAACAGCAAAAACAGCAACAGCAGCTGTGCTACCAACGGTTTCATACAAATGGATTTTCAGAATAATCAGGTTGATGTTTGCACCTTTTAAATATGTGGTTGCATTTTTTCCGTACACTCATTTGTTTCTATTTGTACACGTATATGTGTATTTTTTAAGCGAACAAAATATGCGTACATGCGTTTGTTTGTATGAGTATGTGTAAGAGTTATAAGATAATGATAAGAGTTGTGATAAGAGTTGATTATTTGTATTCATGTACTTGTAAATGTGTACTGTTTAGTACATGTAGCTGCCTGCGTGTATGTATGCAGTTGTACGTGTGTTGTGTATGCATGTGTTTTTATATGTATGTGTGCATGTGTATATATGTGTATGTACGTATGTATGTGTACTTATAAGAAAACATTTTTATGAAACAAAACTCGTTCAATGAAAATTACAATGTAGACGTGTTTAATGAAGAGTCAGTCATTAATTTTTATGATTGAATTGAATTTGGAGATTTGTTTGTGTGTGTGTGTGTGTGTGTGGGTGTGTACGTGTAAGTGTACTGTACTGTGTACGTGTAGGTGTACTCTACTGTGCGTGTTAACGGACTTTGGCCGAGAAGTTGATATATGCAGAAGCGATCACAAAGGCATAATCATAGTTTGTAACCCAACAACGAGATATTTATGCAACATACTCATACTTGTGAAGTGTTGTGGCAGCTTCAAGAGAGGTTACTGTGTATAAGGAAGTAAAAGTTTAAAAGTGTTACAAAAATATCTACTTAAAAAGTGTCATTTGGATGTAATTTCTTATGCATGTTACAATGAAGTGGTGTTTGTTGGACTTCTACTGCTGATATTCACACAATAAACATCGTAAAAATATTGTATGCGTAATAAGACGTGTTTGTGCGTGTGTAAGTATGTATCTACGATGCACATCAAACATTTTCGTGTCTGTAAAGTTTTGTCGGGTCGATACGCAGTGCATGGTTTACGTATATTTGTGCATTGTTTGCTTGTTAAAATAATTTAAATGCCATTGCGATAACTTTGCCCAAATAGTTTTACAGATCTTTTCTATAATTTTTATTCAGCTTACTGTTATTTTTAGATTAATTTTGTTTAAAATTTAATTACTTGAAATTAAATTTCTTTAAATATTGTTATTGAAACGAACATTTCTAGAAGCATGAATAAATTAATTATCCTTGTTCCTCATCCAACCAAAGTTTCTGAATAATTTAAAGTTATTAAAAATAGACACTCTCAACGTCTTGGAGAAAATCTCGTCTCCGCATATTAATAATGATAATAATCTTACATCTCACCTGTTCTTCTTCATCGTACATGGTGGTTTTCATATTTTCAATGGCTCTTCAGATATTTTTTCTAGTTAATCATTGACATTTATATAGTTTGAATAATGTTTTATAAGAAAAACACTTTAGATTGACGCCCGTACTTATAACAATACAGAATTGAACATGATTACATTACAAAAACTTCTTACAGATTCGTGACAAATTTTTTTTTGTTTTTTAAATATCTTCCAAAATTAAAACTTATTGATATTCAATAAAAATATCATAACGAAAGTAGCATAATTTTAGCAATGTATGCGTACCAGAATGCCGAAATATTTAATTACAGCATCTACTGCAACGAATACAACACACGAACCATCAATAAACGAGATAACATCAACCGAGCTAATGAAAAATAATCAAATGTAGAAAAAGTATTGTGAAACAACCACATCAGCAACAATAACAACAACATCAACCCCAACAACAAACAGCAAAATAACAACAAGTGCAACAAAATTGACAGCAACAATCTCAATAATAGAACATGAATGATAACATTAACAACTAACCTTACAAAAATCATCACAACCATATTAATAACAAAAGGAATACAAAACCAACAAAACAGACACAAACAACAATAATAACAGCAACAATGAATACAAACAACATCAACAAACTCAAAAACTCCAGCAACATCGGAAAAATTTTGCATCAGAACAGATAAGAACAACAATAAAAATAATAATAATAACAATATAAACAACACAAATAAAACAATAAAAACATCCTTTGCAACAACAACAGCAACAGTATTAATAACAAAAATAATAATAATCCTATTTATAATAATAAAAAACTGAAAAATAATAACAAAATACGAAGAACAATCGCTATATCGGCAGCGACAACGATACTGATTTTCAACGCACGATCGGCTTGGTGATGAATTTTCTTTCATATAACTAGGGGCATGTTGATAGTTTTGTTGTTGCTGCTGCTGCTGTTGCTGTTGTTGCTGCTGCTGTTGTTGTTGCTGCTATTGTTATTACATGATGTCTGATGTTATCTTTATTGCTGTTGTTTGATGTTATTTTTGTTGTTGTTAATGTTGTTTAATGTTATTTAATGTGTAGTTTTGTTTGATTGTTTTTCGTTGCTTCCTCTGCGTTTGGCGTTTGCAGTTGTTATCGATGTGAATGTTTGTCGTTGATGTGATTGATTGTTGCTGTTTTTGTGGTTTGAAGTTGATGTAATTGTTGATGTTGTTGTTTATTGATGGTGAGATTGTTGATGTTTTTTGTTGTTGCCGTTGTGAACGTTTTGTAATGTTAAAAGTTTAATATAATACTTCAGCTATTGTTAGCTCGTGAGGATGTCCTTTGAGGAGTTCGTGAGGATGTCCTTTGATGTTTTAATGAGTGAAGTAATGTCATGTTGATGTTTGTGTTGTTGTTTATGACATTGTTGTTTGTATATTTGTTGTTTTTGTTTATGATGTTTGTGTTGTTGTTGTTGATGATGGTCTCTTTATTGTTATTGTTGGCGTGAATGATTAGACTGTACGTACGTTTATTTGCTAAACTTGTAAACCCCAGCTGCAAATTAATATTCAGATGATTGGTTGATAAATTGATTGACTGGTTGGTTGATTGTTTAATTGATTAACTAATTGATTGTTTGTATGATTATTTGGTTGATGAACTTAAGTTGTATAATTTGGTTGTCAAGTCGTTAATTGTTTTTTGGACTCACGTATCACGTTCGTAGTGGTTTTCATGAAATTTTTATTTCAATGCGATGAACATTCAAACCATCTGTTGTGATAATTAAACCATTTTAATGTATAACAATCGAACAACATATAACCAATACCAGATAAGGCCAGTGTTGATGATGATAATGATGATGATGATGATGATGGTGAAAGTAATGATGATGATGGTAAGAATAATGATAATGATGACAATGGTAAAATTTTTTTCGTAATGCATAAAAAATTGGTCGTAAAGAGATGCGGTTTTGCCAAGCGGACACGTACCACTTGCTTTTTGTTGAGATGACGTCATTTATCACGTGGTGATGTTGGATTGTTTCGTTGCCGCTTGTTGTTGTTGTTGCGTTGTTGATGATAATGTTGTTGTTGTTGTTGTTTTTGTTGTTGTATAGTTGTTGGTATTTTATTGTGGTTCTTATTTTTGATGGTAATTAAAAATGAACTCAAAATTGATAGTTTCATCATATTTAGAGTAACAATAATCATAAAAAGAAGAAGAAGAAGAAAAAGAAGATAGCAATAATAGTAATAAATATTAAAATAAATGATTATTGTTATTATTTATAAATATGAATAATAATAATTTTGTATTTTTCTGTTCCGATGGTTTGCTTTCGTCATCTGCATACACCGCACAGTACACATTCATTAAGTCAGAATGCAAATATGCAGGAGATTGAGGATTATATATTCAAATTTATTCTTTTTCTCTGTGTGTGTGTGTTTGTGTGTGTGTATAGGTTTGTATTTTATTTCGTGTGAGTGTGCGTGTGTGTACGCGTGTGTGTTTGCGTGTGCATGTGTGGATTTAAAAAAAGAATTTCATACAAAATTTTTCCATTATTAAAAGTCAAACATAGAGTTCTGAGTTGTGGTTAATGTTGTGGATACAGGCATTGTGACAGATGAAACATATTTTTAGTTGTTGTTTGTTGTTTTTGTTGTTGTTGTTCTACTGATGTTTTTGTTGTTATTGTTGCTTAGTTGATGATTATTTGTTGATGTCGTTTGGGTGTTGCGTTATTTTATTTCAATGTTATTATTATCCGACTACTTGTTGCATCGCTAAAAATAACAACAACAACTACTACAACAACAACAGCCTTAACAGCAACAGCATCAACAACAACAACTACAACAAAAAGCAATAATAACATGTAGTTATTTATTCATGCACTTACACGCGTTTGCATAGCTAGGAAATCAATTATTTCATATACGTAGTTCTTTTATCGGCTTAATTATGCATGCATACGATATATTATTAATGAGACTTCCCTGAATACATTAAGCCCGTATTATGCAGGTTTTGGTTTATTTATTTACGTGCATACTCACACACACACGGACGCACACACTAACACTTATACACACACAGACCGAGACACATACAAACACAGACACACACACACACACACACACACACAGGCATATAATTATACATATGAAACTATGCGTGTATTAGTGTGTTTGTCAGGGTTTCGAATTCGGTTGAAAAATATCAGACTCCAACTTCGACTCTCTGTTGTTTGTCGACGTTCATGTGTGTTATATTTATATTAGTACTTAGCTGAAATTAAAACTTATTACAATGAAATTAAGTTATCTTAGTACCATTTAAATTACCTATTAGCCAATATTAATAACATGTACAGATCATCACATCATTCAGACATTTTCTTTACTTTTTATTTGCGATCGTTCAGTTAATTTAATTGACTCGTTGGCTCATACTAAATTCTATTTAATTTAAAATAAAAACATTATTTAATTAAGGAATCTAATTAAACGTTTTAATTGAACAATCTAATTAAGTTAAGTTAATTAAGCAATTCAGCTGACCATTCTCTTGCAGAATCAATTAATAAAAAACTTTTTTTAACCAAACATCTTGGCGAAGCTAACATCCACAATAAATAAAAAGCTTTACTACGACAGCTTCAACATTTTTACAATGACATTAACAAATCTAACAACATATGACATTAAGAAATCCAACGAAATTAAAAATATGACATTAAAAAGTCCAACAACATTATAACACTGACACTAACAAATCAACAGCACAAAATTATAACGGCAAAAAGAACGTAATCGAACAAATACACATTTTTCCAATTAAAAATTTCAGCAAAACCAAAACACCAACACAACAACATCATCACATCAACATTATCACGTCAACAACAACATCACACCACCACCAACGACAACAACATCAAAAGCAACAACAACAGCAACATCACATCACCAACAAAAATAACAATAACCACAACAACAAAAATAACAACAACTTGACCATCTTGACTAGGTTCCAGGCGATCTCAGTAGCTTAGGACTTCACAGTTTGACCGCGAATGAGATCCATATACTCTCCGAACAGATCAGACTGCAGATACAACAAACTCAACTACAGGTTATTATTATTGTTAATATTATTATTATTATCATTATTATTTTTTTAATATTATTATTTTTATTATATTATTATAAGTAGTAGTATTGGTAATAGCAGGAGTAAAAGTTGTAGTGGTAGTAGCATTAGTAGGATAGTATTAGTGGTAGTAGTTGTAGTAGTAGAAGTAGTAGTAGCAGAAGTATTAGAAGTAGTAATAATAGTAGTAGTAATAGTGATATTATTATCATCATAGTCAGATTCATTATTACTTTTCTTACTAATTTACTAATCAGTAATTGAAGTAAGTACTAGACGAGAGAAAGAAAAATTCAGTATCAGTTTTACTTGCGACAGATAATTTTGAGTGTTATTGATGAGTTGCAATCGATATGAAATGTTATTGTTAGTAATGTAACTCGAGTAGATAGGTAGGTAGGTAGGTAGGTAGGTAGGTAGGTAGGTAGGTAGGTAGGTAGGTAGGTAGGTAGGTAGGTAGGTAGGTAGGTAGGTAGGTAGGTAGGTAGGTAGGTAGGTAGGTAGGTAGGTAGGTAGGTAGGTAGGTAGGTAGGTAGGTAGGTAGGTAGGTAGGTAGGTAGGTAGGTAGGTAGGTAGGTAGGTAGGTAGGTAGGTAGGTAGGTAGGTAGGTAGGTAGGTAGGTAGGTAGGTAGGTGAGGATGGCTGGTTTTATTATTGTAAATAGGGGAATGAATTGCAAACATGCAAGCAGTAAAAACATTTAATAACAAAATTATTAACTAAAAAGGTGAAAATACAATTTTTAATTTTATTTCTCACGAAATCATTCTCCCGAAAGATGTTGCAGTTGGCGATAAGGCAGGAGCAACTGAAGGCCACACAAATGCAGCTGCAGTTACATCAACAGATGCAAATGTCACCGAGACTTAAGTTCAACATCAATAACATCAACAACCATCACGGTCATAACATTAATTACAAAGGTGCTAACAACAATATTAATGCCAATTTAGCCGATGATATTGATGGTAATAATGTCGGTTATAATCATGGTACAGGTCAAACTGATTCGAAGTTGAAATATAGCGAACCATCCAACGCCAGTCTAACCAACAACAAAACAAACAATGATAAAAACACTAATAATGTTAGTTCTCTCAATAGGGACAATCATGATGACATCAATATGAAAAGTAGCAACAACAACAACAATAATCACAGCAACTACAACAACAACAATCACAGCAACCACCACAACAACAACAATATGGATGTTCACGATGAACATGATGACGTCAACGTTCATCACACTCGAAACAA